AAGAAAAGGATCCCAAAAAAGGGAAAAAGAGGTCCCTAGAAGGGGAGTCCAGCAAAGATATTCCTGCCGAAAAAGAAGTGGTTGAGACTTCGGAGACGGAGGTTGCCGTTGAGGAGGAGAAGAAAAAGGTAAAAAAGAAGAGGAAAGCTGCAGCTATCGAAGATCCTTATACCCTCATGGTTCCAAAGCCGAAGAAGATGCCGGCGGTCATTGAGAAGGGTGGATCATCATCCAATGTGGTGGTTTCTGCAGTGGAGAAAGCCTCAAAAGCGCGCACAAAGTCAAATGTCGGTGCCAATGCGAATGAAGAGCTGGATCAATCTTGCCAGGCGATTGAGGATGCGAAGAGAGAAGGATTGGTATCCTCAATTCAAAGGGGCATACAGGATCCTATTCTTACGATTTCGGACCTGGAGTATATTCTGCTGCAACTTCACCTCAAGATTGCCAACAATCGGAAAAAGAAGTGATTGGATGGTATGGATGAAGGGATGGTTTTTCTCTTTCTGGAGACCGGTGCGCTGGAACAGCCAATGTGCTGACAAAGGTGGTGGTTACTATTAAGGGTATGGAAATCCCTGATAGTAGGAGTCAGTAGCTTTTCGCGTAGCGAAGACCACGGTTTGTGGTGAAGAAGGCCAAGGAGTCTTCAGTGATGAGAGGATCAAGGTGAAAAAAGATTCTCTATGGGTAGTAGGTTAGCCAATGTGCTATAATTCCGTCCTGGAAGACGTTAAACCACAATTTGCATTTCAAGCAGCTGGCTGCTGCCGTAATGGCAGTTTTTGGCCAAAAGATCTGCATCTCCAATGTGTCCTAGGAAATCCTAGGACAGGGGGAGTGCGGAGCTGCAATTGGTATTGTAGAAAGGAGTTAGTGTTGGAAGTTGGAAGGGTTAATGAACCCGGAAATCATGTTTGGCTCAAGATGGGCTTGAACAGAAAGCCACAAGTTCAAAAAGAAGTGCCTGGGTTCTTAGGGTTTGGTAAGGGTGTGGGTTCCTTCCCCCTTTCCTTCCCCCCTGGGTTGCTCTTATCCGTGTTCTTGGTTGTTTCTTGGTTCGATCTGGGAAATATAAGTTCAGGGCGATTAGGGGAGTTGATTTCCTTCCTTGGTTGTCCCCCCGTATAGGGTTTAGGGTTTAGGGTTTAGGGTTTAGGGTTTAGGGTTTAGGGTTTAGGGTTTAGGGTTTAGGGTTTTAGGGTTTAAGGGTTTAAGGGTTTAAGGGTTTAAGGGTTTTAGGGTTTTAGGGTTTTAGGGTTTTAGGGTTTTGGGGTTTAGGGTTTAGGGTTTAGGGTTTAGGGTTTAGGGAAGAAGCAGAACTTTGCCCGGCCTTGCCCTCGAACTCTTCAGATTGGAACTGCGCGAGGATGGCCATGGCCATCTCATCCTCCAGGTTTCGGGAGATGGGGGCTTGAAGGAACTTCAAGACCCGACACCCGAGAAATTCAATCCGGGACTCCTTCACTTCCTGCCCCCACCCCGGCCACCGTCCTTCTCCCAGCCGTCCAGGACTTCTGCGGGAGGCCTCAGAAGGACGCAGTCAGGACGTAGTCAGGACGTAGTCAGCTATGCATGGAGTCATGAAGGGGACGATCCCTACCGCATGCGACTCATGGGTCGCACGGCACAAAGGCAACTGCCCAACCACAATCTGGCAAAACACGCGTTCGATCGCGCTTGACAGGAGCAGGGCACAACTGCCGCTGTGTCCAAGGCCCGTCCAACTCCATGTAGTCGCCCTCCTCCTCGTCAAACTCGTCGCCGTACTGAAGCAGTGTGCTCTTGCGGAGGCTTGATTTTTTTGTGAAGCGCAGACTGTTCACTTGAGAATTCATATTATTTCCAACACCGCGTGCTCGTCGGACTCCCAGACCATCCTGCCTGAGTGGTCTTCCAACTCTCATGAACCAAGTGCGCAACTTTGGGCAGAAAGATATCGAAGGCTTCTTGAAGCACCCAGTTAGGGCCCAGAGGCTGTGTGGCTTCTTCCTACTGCTGGAAGCAACAGTGTTCTGCGTGCGCAGGTCTGATTTTGTTCATATTTGCACGTTTTCACTAAGACCTGTGCTGAATCGTGTGAGTTGGTGAGAAGTCTTTGAATTTGTAGCAGCTGCCAAGTTTTCAAATCTCCGTACAAACGAGAACAACCAAGCGCATCCTAAAGCAAATTTTCTGGATATTAGAAGCGAGTGCCTAGCACAATTGCCAAATCGCAGCATCTGAGTTTGATAACTAGTATGCTGGCATCAGAGTCATCGTTCTCCGCCTCTCAATCTGTCCCGCTCATCACTGCTCACGCAGACGCCGCAGCAGCAGCAGCATCCGCAGCATCATCCGCAGCCTCACCTGCATCCTCACTCAATCCCCCCACCCCGGCCAACCCACCAGCAAACATCATTGGCATCACTGAAATCGTCGTTGTCATCGTCTTGTTCCCTTCTCCTCCTCCTCCTCGAATTCATCACCATCGCCATCACCATCATCATCACCACCATCATCATACTCATCGTTGAAACAGAAGAGATCAACATTAACGCGTGTGGTGGGCCTCATCTTCCTCCGAATAGAGCAAGTCATCCTCGTCCTGAACCTGCAAAGCAATACTCGAGAGCCAGAAACTATTACAGGCAAAAGCATGACGAAGAAGTGAAATGACACAGAAGGGTTTTGTCCCGCAGGAGTGCCGAAACCAGTAACATTGAGCAGGCTCCACACAACCCGTACAAGAATGTATAAGAGTGATGGCTGCAGCAAGCAGCTTATTGCTTCCTGAGCACTGCGGGGAGAGGGTCCGGCCTTTGAGGGCTTCCCCACACTGGCCGGTGCTGCCTGACAGAGGCTGACGGGGTACATAGGCCCGGTGCGGTTTGATAAGAGTACCATGCGGTACCAGGGCTTGATTGGATTCTTCGTTAAGCTGCTACACAATGCATGTCTTGGGAGTCACTGCTGGTTGGTAAATGATGATACAACACTGTAGATACAACTACTTACCAGTAGTCCACGGTGCCATGCAGAAAGCTCGGCACGTACTGGCAACTTGCACGCTGGCTGCGGACGCAAGGCCAAACTATTGCTTCCCCGTGCTCTCAGTGCTCCCAGCCCAGCTGCCTGACGCACGATGCGATGCGCCTAAGAGCGGATCTTGCTCCTATTTCGTAGGCTGTTCGGTCTCTGGGCTGCTCTATGCCCATCTCTTATGTGCTGTTTCTTCGACTGCACAGACGTCAAGTTGGCAAGCAAGTGCTACTATCACTGCGCTTGAGTCATTGAAGGCCTTGTCAGTGGGACTTCTGGCCCCAGAATCGTCGCCCTAGCCAACTCAGGCGCGGGGCACTTCGGGCCCTCGCCGGGCCAAGGAACCTCTCAGTGGCATACTTTAATTTTGTACGCCGTGTTTGCATGTTTTGCATTTTGTTGCATTTGCTTGACCTGGGAGGCTTCGGGGCGTTCAGGGACACATTGATGCACCAGCGCAGCGCTGTTACATCCGTGTCAATGCATCAAACGCTCAGAGTCCGCACAAAGGTACCGGCACACCACGTTCAAGCCCAGCTATGGCCAACAACGGCATGCGAAACGCCAACTTCTGAGACCCGGACGTCGAAGCGCCTGTCCAATGAGAAGCCCGGATAAGCTCCCGCCGTTCACATTATATGCCTCAAGCACCTTGAGCACCCACGAAAGTCTAGAGCCCCATGATTCGCCAATGGGTTAAAGGACACAAAAGACACGGCAGCTGCAGAGGGACGATGGTTCGCAAAGTTGGATATCTGCGCTGACATGCAGTCTCATGTGGGAAATTTCTCGATACAAAAGACCATGTGGCTTCAGTGTCCAGCAATGTCAACCAGCCTGTCGCGGAACAGAGTGCTGCAAGCAAAACCTCGGACTTCATTTGACAAAGTGGATGTGGGACCCAGGCATTGCGGTGTTCAAGACAAAAGGAGCCCAATAATTATAACCACCTGTCCGCAGTACTTCGCAGCGGAGGATCATTTCGGAGCTTTCTGCATGGCCTGGAGGTGCCTGATCCCTGAGCTCTTACAGCCTTCGGAAAACAAAGCCATCCTTGGCCCAAGCATCTGCAAACTTGAGCTGCCCGCCGCGCCCGCTGCGCACAGCAGGCCCACCTTTGTTGGGGCCCCAGTGTCAAGCAGTGTCACTAAGGTGGCCATGCGATATTGCTTCTTCCGCCACCAGCAGTCAGCGTTGCTGCATTGACTGCGGTGTGACTGGAAGCTCAAGTCTCAGCAGCATGAGCGCTTCACCCCAGCAAATACATTGCGGGCAGGCCTTCCGCGCCCCCATGTTGCAAGGCTGCCCTCAAATCCCAAAACTTGCTGCAAAAGCTCCGACGGGAATACATGCACAGTATGTCATGTCAATGCAGCCACACCAGTTCCTGACTTGCCGCATGCTCTTATTCGGACTCTTCTCCCACTAACTCTGAAGCATCGAGAGTTGAAACATGCCGCAGGCTCAAGCCTCTTCTTCTCCTTAAGCCGTGGTCCGCTAGGTCCCGCCTTGTATCCTCTGGGGCGGGGCCGTCCTCTTCAGTCCGCTCGGGCCGCGGCTTCCGTTCCTGCATATGGTACGCTTCTGGTGGTTGCAGCTTTTGACTCGGCCTTCCAGCCTGGAGTCCAAGTCGCATGGGCCGTTGGACACATGTATGCGCAAGAGTATGCGCAAGCATTTTTGGGGGGCCCTTGTTGAGCAACCAGGTGTTCTGGCCGGGTATGGCGTTGCTTTGGGTGACTTCTCGCGCTCCGTGGTGTTTCTGCGCTGCGACTTTTGGGGGTGCTGACCCAGTTGCCTAGCAGGCTCTGAAGCTGAGAGCGAGATCTTCTGCCTCAGCACCGGGACCCCTTTTTCGCCTGCGAGTTTGGTTCGCTGAGCCCGGCATCCTGCTTGAGCCACAGATTCAGCTGCACAGAGGCTGTACAGGGCATGGCAATGTGAAGACGTTGTGGCTGAGTGGCTTCGCCACACCTCCGCTACCTAAAGAAAGCCATGAGCTTCTGCAGCTTCAGATAGATGAGGAAAACCTGGACAAGTCAGCGTGTTGGTACGATTTTGACAGCCCGGACAACGCAGGCCACTGCCATGCACCTGGGAAGCAGCTGTTTCGGAAAACACTCCAGTGCTAGTGCGGGCGCGGGGCAAGAATGATGAAAAGGACGATGGCTAAACACCACACCATGGCCTTCGGTGCGGTTCGATGGAACATGGTTTCATCCGGCGCACTGTCAAAACTTGCCCCTGCCAAGCGCAGTTGATACCGTTTGATACCAGTAATACTTTGCCAATGTTCCACCCCAGATTGCAATGCCTCGGTGCTGTCAAGAACTCGCAAGAAACAACATGGCACGCCTGGCTAGTCTGAATGCGCCGGGACATCAGCGACAAGAACATCTTGGATGTGCCCAGGTGGCCATCCACGTCATGCAGATGGTCCTGGACAATCGGGTGACTGGTAGGAAGGCTGTCGTTGGATTTTTATGGAATGATACGGCGTTACATGATGCTACCGCGCGGACTCTGCGCACAGAACATACATGTGCTCCATCGAGTGAAGGGGCGTGCATTTGGGACGGAAACTGAAAAGTAGACGCGTGACAAGCAGGCTGTCAGACTGTCTGCGAGTGGGGAATTGCATGGCAGATTGCCAGACAGCCAGACAGTCGAATACAGCCACCGCAGTTCAAACGACCGGACACGTCGAATAGGACCGGGATGATTTGCCACAGCAAGTCAGCCTATTTGACAAGAATTCGGGCGATTTCACCACTGCATGTCAAACAACCGCATGACCAACAGGATGGCTGGATTGGAGTCAATCCGAAGGAGAGTGTCCGATTTGTGGACCGAAACTGAAGAAGCAGATGGGCAGATGAAGCAAACACGAGAATGCTGTCAGGCAGCCAGGGCGACGCCAAGACTAACACTTCGACTGTCTGACTGCCGCTCGGTTCACCGCGACCTCAAGTAATGATTGCTACGATGAAGCCAATGACTGGAGAAATGTACATTCATTGCCTTCTGTTCTACTCTCGTGGTCCGATGGTTGAAGAATTCGATACTGCAAACCACAGAATAAGTAGCGGCTTCCAAGCGAGGCCGGTTCAACTTATTCAAGCTCAAGCCATACCGCAAGCAATGTGCACGCAGTCGATGTCAGAAGCTCATGATCCCACAATATCTCACACCCCCAATATCCCCCAATCACGACTAAACCTCGGCTCCATCCTTGCTCCGTTTGAGGGCATCTCGCTGGTCAGTCAGCTCGGACATGACATCCATGCCAATGCTTTCGGCCTTGCAGCACGGCCGTGGGATGTTGTGGACTATTGCGGACGTTTTGTGCCCTGTGTGGTTTCCGGCTGCTTTGCCTTGGTTTGTAAAGTGTTTTGGCCGACATGGAGGACATGGTTGCCTGACGAGTACCTTAACTCCAACACCCACCGCCCCAGTGGCCTCTAAAGCCGTTCGCCGCGAGTCCTGGCTGAGCGCATGGCCGAGCGTCTAGTGTCTGTAGTCTATTCATAGTTCAGAATGCCAAAGCCTTCATTCTTGGCCCGGCACCACATTCACAGATGCTCATAATACTGTGGATGGGGGAAACCTTGCATCACTTTCAAGGCTTTCAAGGGCACGTAACATTTTCTCCCCTTGCCCCCCATTTAACATTGCGGCGAAAAGCAGATTTTCAGGATTAGGCCCCATGACGTAACTCTTGCACCGCTCCGTCGTGACAATCCCCAGTGTTAAAAAGGGTGGAGATCAGACGGTGCATTTGGAGTAGATCAAGTCGGCGATGCAAAATTTCCTCCATCCACCGTATGGCCACTCCGACAGTCGAAGGATTCAGTTGCTTTGAGGTTGTATTCCGCTGCACTAATTGCAGACGAGTTGAGTGATCAGCCCCTGTGTCCTTAGACCTGACCGCCTGGCCATGGAACAACGCTGTCGCCGGTCGCCATTACGAAGAAATACCCTGCCTCCAGGCGGCGCGCACCGGCCCTCATTCGCTGAGCCGAGTCTCTCTGCACCTGCGATTCATGGGCATTTCAAGGTCTCACAGCTTCGTAACGATTCGTAACTAAACACAAGTTTTAGGGCTTCGGGTAGAAGGGCAACTAGCAGCCCTACATACTGAGCAATCTCAATTCACATGCGTTTGGCAGCGCTCGTCGGGGTCCCGGATTCGCAGTCGGCGCCATTCCTCCACACTGTACATCCCCTGTGCCTTATCATCAGGGCTTGCGCCACGCAGCAAGCCTTCCCAGCATGTTTGAGCAGACGGCAAGATGAGAGTAAACGCCTTGCAGGAAATCTGGTTGAGGTGCTTCGGGATATTGAACCAAGTTAAACCAACGGCAGAGGTGGCCTTCTCGGTTCAGCCTCGCCTGCACGTTGCGAACCAAGGTCCTCGCTTGTTCGATGTCTTGCATTTCGCTCTATCCACGTGCCGAACAGAGATGAAGAGATCCTTTATCCGCACAGCCAGCTCACCAGTCAATGCACCACCCTTTGGCTCAGGTGCACTCGAGCTACGTCGACCATGTAGTCGAAGCTGCCCCCAGCGTAACGGGTGTCGAGCGAACGGCGGATCCACCGAAGCGATGCCTCTGGGTGTCCTGAGGCAGATACGGTCACCTTCATGCAGGGTCTTGTTTCGACACTTTGACCCCGCCTATGATGCACCACGTGCGGAACGATTGCCAAGCACATCCGAGCCACCCTGCGACTCCTCGAAAAGACCCAAGTAGAGGGCTGCATAAAAAGAGTCTTTGTCCCCGGGCGATACAGCTGCCACAGCTTCCAACTGGCCCTGCGCACTGCTCGATCCCTCGAAGAGCTCTGACACGAGCCGCATGATGGCACGCGGGTCTTTCCCGACTCGCAGCCTTGGGTTCGAGGAGTTCAGGGGATCCCAAAGGATCCAAAAAGACATTTGGGAACACGGGAACACTAGATTGTCCCTGAGAGGCATCCGCTAGAGCTGGAAGCAGTCGAGCATCATCTGTTTCTGTGCTGCTGCAAAACCCAGCACTTGGGCTTCACACAGCATGGCCCAGATAGACTCTTCGGTGTCGCTGGAGTTGACTTGAGCATCCTGGCGGAACTGTGCCGCCCCATCCTCGTAGCGACCTGCGTAGTACAGGGCGATGCCCCTCTGCCAGAGTAGTGTCGATGGATAGCCCACCCTGGATGCCGCATCGAAGAGCTGTGTTGACAGCTCCACCAGACCACGTTGGAAGGCCGTGCTGCCAGCCCAGACGAAGAAGAGAGCTAGGGTGGTGATGGCCAACAGGCCTTGCAATCCCAAGTCCAGCAGCTCTCCAAGCACCTCGCGCCGGCCGGGGGGGCCGGCACGCGAGGCAAGCCGCGCGCGCTGCCCGCCCGCTAGCGGCGCGTCCCGCGCGCTCCGTACACCCACAGAAAGCGAGCACCACGAGGGCGCAAAGAGCGAAGGGCCCCAATGAGGTGAGCAGAGCCGGACAGGTGCTGGGGATGGCCTGACAAACTTCGGTCTTCCACTCTGCAAACCCTCGCCATCTCTCCATCCCAGCGCTTCGGATTTCTCGGGTGCTTTTCGAACTTCGTCCTTTGCCTCATTTCAACAGATCTTTTATCCTTTCCCTGCCTGAAAGCAGATGCCGTCGGGCGGAACTTCACTGCAGAGGCACATGCCATGTCAGTGGGCGATGCCAATGGAAGGGGGTTCTGCCGTTTTGTGGCTTGTTGAAAGATGCTGACAGTTGCCGCAGAAGTTGCATGGGTGTGTGGGTGCATGAGTGTGTGGGTGTGTGGGTGGGCGGTCTTGACTTAGCTATCTTCCCTGTCAGCTCACCCCAAGCTCCTACTACAGTTGCTTGCCGTGCGTTGTGAGGGTATTCTAGGTGCCTCCTCTTCAGGCTGCGGGTGCACACATGATACACATGACTTCAAGACAGCAGAATGCACCCATGCCGATCCCATGCCGATCCCATGCCCCATGCTGCTCCCATGCTGATCCCATGCTGTCCTACTGGCCAGCAGCTCCTGCTTGTACTCCTTCCTCGGCAACAATGCAGAGCAGTCCAGAGCTCTCTGTCAAGGACCGTCAACCCGTGGCTTCACATCTGCCACGCGATTCATGTTCAAGCGGCTCAAGGCCATGGCAAGTGCCAGGCGAACAGAGGACTGACAGACTCTGGCGGACATCGCTGTCAGTCTCAGGGCTTAGGACTCTGAAGGCTTGCTTCTCAGGTCAGTGATAGGGGCTTGTGCGGCTTGTCGGTTTTCCGCACTCAGTGCATTTCATCCCGATCCATAGCTCTTGGTTTGACTGAGCTGGAACCCAGGCATGCCGAGGACCAGACAGTTTGCCCACTAAAGCTGCCTAGGGAGGTTCTCAGGGCTCTTGGGGGTGCAGGAGACGCTTCAGCCTGGGAGCGCAGCGCTGCTAACCGCAAGCCTACAGCATGCCCACAACCCCTCGATGCTTGCGGCAGTTGACCGTGCGGAGATCTTGAAGCCTTATACAACCCTCATCCCCCCAGTGGTTGAGGCAACGGCGCCAAGCGAGCCCATGGATTTCACCTCGAACTCCATCTGCTGAAAGGCCTCTGCAACTGCTGAGATGTCGCTGGGATTCTCTGGGCCCAGGGAACGCGTCAAGAAAACTCGGAGTCGCGCCTGGGTCGCGCGCTCGTGGGCGTCAACCATTTCCTGCCTGGGAATGTTGGAACGGTTGGGCTTTTTTGGGCGGCTGTGTTGATGCTTTTCAACGAGGCCGCCGCCCGGCATTGCAGCGCTCCTGCGTCGGGCCAGTACCTGCCAAGCTGGACCAGTCTCTTAGTGTCTCTCGGGGCTTCGCCGGGCCTCCAAACTCCAGTAAACCTCCAAGGCCTAACTCCAACAAGTCCCGAAAATTCGTCGCAACTCCGCAGTGCCTTCGACGACGGTCGCCAAACTGCGTAGCTGTTGGATCCTCAGCAGGACTGGTGGGACAACAACTTTCAAATGGTGCTGCAAATGCAATGCGCAACAATCACTGTGAGAGGAGGCAGACGATGTAGCAACTTGAATGGACAAGAACTCGTCAAGGACTTGAAGCAAACTCAAGAATGAGACGGACCTCTCACACACACACACACACACACACACTTTAAGTTTACACCTCATCGCCCTTCAGTGTGCAACATTCCTTGACATGGTGAACCTTGTAAGCGCCTGACAGCTGCTTGTAGTCTTCCTGCCAAGCTGAGGCCCACGAATCGGAGCTTCTGAATTGCACAGAGTTCATATTTCGTAATACTCTTCACACAGGAACCCTGCCTCGTAGGACTGGAAGACCTGCGCTGAGCACAGGGCACAAACAGGCTGGACCACTTGCCGTGTCGCAGTGCAGATTGGAGCCACATCCCATTCGGCCAGACCCTGCTGGCAACATCAACACGCCGAAACACTCCTTCTGCTCACTCGCACCTCCGAGATGGTAACAACCGGCTGCGAACCTGCGCGAGAGCTGTTCCTACGTCCGAATGGGGCACTCACGGCCATCATACTCTTTCCGGTTCCCTGGCTCGTGGTAGCTGCACTTCAGAGGGCCTACTGCGTCACACAACTGTCACAGCCATCGCCTCGCATGTCGGCTGCGGGCAGGAGATCCGCTGAAGATCATGCCATGCCCAAACATCGACACAAGCATGCGCTGGGGTATCGGGTTCTGGGCTTCAAGCTTCGACAGAGGAAGACCTTGCCATTGTGCTAGTCCGTCGCATTGCACTATGTTGCACTATGCATGCAAGAGTTGGCTCTACATCCGGTGCTTCGGGCTCTTACGAGTAGGGCTCTTACGAGTAGGACATATGCAGACTCGCGGCACCAACCCGCTTGCTGCTTGCTGTTCGCCTCTGACCCAAGACCTCTGCCTATCTCTGCCTGACATTGTCGCAAGATAGCTCAGAAACATGTTGCTCTGGCCGATAACAAGCTGCAAAGAGAACGGACTGCAAATTACATCGTGGTCGCGACGCAAGCCTTGTCCACCCCACTCCTCACCTCCATAATATCGAGCCTAAGCAAGGTCTAATCCTGCCGGTCTGGATACCAAACATAGCCAGGTCTTCACCTCCTGCTTGCCTGTGACCCAAACTGAACCCAAAAAGAGACAGGCTGCTCAGAAAAGATGTCTTTGAAACGCCTGATGATGCACCGACAGCACCGAATCTGCTTTGCAGAGGTGAAGTTGGGAACGGGACCAGGTAGTTCGGAGAGGGAGAAAAGGCACCCATCCCAAGCCTAGTCAGGCGGCAGTTCCCGGCAGTCCTTCACATTCAACCAAACAATTTTTCCCAGTCTTCTCTTGCAGATGGAGAGTTACAGTATGCCGTCGAACTGAGAAAGCGTTGCATGCCTTTCAGACCACGTGTGCTCGAAAGAGCGTCAGCACACACGCAATCCCTGGCCTGGCTAACTTTGAAGCTCTTCGTCAGCCGAATGGCCGAAGCCTAAATGCTGACAACTACAAGCCTAAAGTACACTCTGCCCTCTAGGAATCCAAGGTACCTTTAGGTACCTTTACCTTTGTCGACGCGCTCTTCTAGTCTAAGCGAGCGCCTCCATACAGACATTGCTGCAGAGCCGCCCCAAAACGCGTACTTCTGGCGCTGCGCGCCGCGACCCTCAGCTTCGAGCATTCCCACCGAAACCTGAGATGCGGTGCTTCTTGGTTCGCCTCTACCCTAAACCCTGTCGATTTTGGAGCCATAGAGCCTTAAATGCCCCGCAGGTGGGCATCCGAAGCCTCTCCACCATCATTCCGCAACTTCTCAGAAGCGAATCGCAACGCTCCCAGCCAGTCCCAGCCACGGACACGGCCCGAGGGGACCTCGATGACCTCTGCGCCATTCTCGGGATCGCTGGTCTTCAGGCGGAGCTTGAGCGTCACCTGCTTCGGAGTTCAGGACTCAGGGTTGAGATGGGTTGAGCATAGAGCTAGTTTTTGCAAGAGTTACTGCACACTTGAGGTCTGACTACGTTCACCAACACAACCTTTGCCGAACACCTCCCCCCCAGCGCTGCGCCTCTGGCGAATCAACTTCGTTTCGCTTCTGGCCGAAAGGCAGGCGCAAAGTGAGTCTTACGATCGATACGGGAAGGCATTTCGGGTGTAGTGCTGCGTGTTGCCGTAGCAGCGTGTTGCCGTAGCAGCATAAAAGCTATGGCGGCTATGCGGTACCGAGATCTAGAGGATACCAGTAGGGCCTGGCAGCTGTGGCCTACTTGCGGCGGGACTACTACAAGTTGTCCGCAACAACACATGCCTCTACTGGGTGGCTGGGAGTGGTAGCTTCCCAGTGACAGATAGTAGCAGCAGTCATGCTGAGAACGCCATGCACTCCACGGATGGCCTCGGGGACCTTCGTTACGGTGGAAAGCGCCTCGGATGGGTTTAGGGTCCCTTTAGGGTTGGCACCTTCCCAGCAACAGCAAGGGACCTCCCGAGTGGTGGGTGTCTCAGTGGGCATGCAACCGTGATTGGAGGCAGACCCTGCTTCTGAGCTTCAGACCTTCGTGATGGTTTGGTCCTCGCACAAACCCGAAATCCAACGAAGACCGCAGCTTGAGTCTGAGGTTCGGGGGGTTGTTGCGCGACAGAGTTTCAGAATAAAGGTGCCAAGGCTAGATTCAATCTCCGTTGCCTGAACAAGCATACGAATCGATTGTTCAATACAACAAAACAAAAGACCATGTGCGTGAAGGCTTCTCCCGAACATGACTTCCGTCTTCGGATTGCCGTGCGACCGCCGCATAACCCATAACCCTTCTGGAGGTTCCACCTTAACTAATCTCCAAAGGAAATTTCCACTAAGGACCTACGACTCCCCACCTCCTTCGCTGCCTCTGCCTTGGGCGCCGTTCGCACCTGCGTCAAGGCGAGGGTGCAGGCGTGTTGCGATGAGTGGCCATGGGGCCTCTAGGCCCTTTTAGCCCCCCTATGGGGCAAAGTCATGTAGCAAATTGTGCCACGCCAAAAAGACCTGAGCGTACCTTTGGTGTGGAACGCCTTTCACTTCTGTGCAAAGATGCGCGATGGCGAAGACATAACTTATGATGTTGTGCTGCTTGAGAAGAGCCGAAAGACTTCTCGGGAAACCTCTGGCACAAACTATTGAATTCTGATCACGGCCTTGTGTTCTTCGCGCCGGCCCGGCACATCATCGCTTAGCTCCTCCCCATCCTGGTGCCGAAGGAGCTCGCACAAAAACATCACAACCCCAACCGTTTCAGCATTTGAGATTTGGATGCTTCTGAGACTGCAACATACTGCAACGCGGAGCAGTTTCACTGGCAGCTCCTGCCTCCAGCAAGGTTGCCTCAACCCAGCCTTGCAACCTGCAAGAGCTGAGTCAAGTAGCGCGTTCAGAAGGCAGATGTCTACACTGCGTCCAAAGCATGTCATTTTTGCAGTGTGACTCCACTTCTGTCTGGCATCTCGGGCCCGTGCGCGCCCAGGTACACGAGCTGCGGATCCTTGGTCAGGAACCGGCGCCTGAAGTGAGGTCAAGAGACAAAGAATCCCACGATGCGGTACATGATCTTCCTCTCCCACTGCCCATGCACACTGATTTGTTTGAGCACTTCAGATTGGTGATTTTAGGAGACTTCAGGCCATTGGGGCCCCCATTGAATCGTTGGGGTGCGTGCCTGAGTCGTGCAGGCATGGTCTGAGTCTCCTCTGTTGGGAGGGTCACGGAGTAGCCCAGCCTTCAAATCACAGCACGATGAATCAAGTGAAGTGCGTATCTAGTAAATACGGTCGTTCTTCCAAATCCCTGTTGCCAAGGAATCCCCTATTAGGGACTCTGTCCCAAGGTCCATCCCTTCCAAGAACCTTTAGAACAGCCTCCATACAGCTGGGCACAACACCACACGCATGAGCAGTGTAGTCCTGAATCTGTCAGACGGACCCTTCTCATGGATCAGAGACCACTACGCCCTCAGCCTGTCGATCATAGTTGGGAAAAGCCCATGCAAAGCAAAGCTTTGAGAAGTGAAGCCTTGAGGGCTTTCTGCTCCGATTAATTGGAGGTCAAGCACCCTCACATACTCTTGCGCGTTTCTGGATTTCGGGGTAACGAGTGTCGCGCAAAAGCTGTCCAAGGGGCATGTGGGCGCCGGCGGTGCCCCGGACTTCACCCTCCTCCCACGCGCATGTCCCGTTGGAGTAGTAACCTTGGGCTCTCCAAGGAGCGAGGACAGAAAACGCAGCTAATCTCAGCATGTCCGGGCCATTGACAGCCTCAAAAACTGTGTATTGCAGTGTTGTTTTTCAAGTTTCGTGCCTCCGACAGGAGCCCCAGGTGAGGAACGTAACAGCCCAGCACACCGAAAAGTCCCCGACCCCCCCTCCTCCCTGCGGGGTTGAAAAACGGCTCCAAAGAATAGGTTCCTTCAATGTTCCGCGCAGATTCCTCTCTAGCAAAGCCCCACAAAAATCTTGGGTATCATGTCCGCGTGGCTCACAGGCTCCTGTGCGTGGAGCTCCGGCCGCAGGAAGGTCAGCGCGACCAGACTGCCTTGCTTCTGGGGCTCTGAAGGCTCTTTGGCACTCATGTCAGGCTGCTCAGATGAAGCTGCAAACCACATGCACTTGCACCAACAAGCTGGCAAAAGCGCTCCCACACCGGCCGGGCAGCGTGTCTGCCGGCTCCCGTGTACGCGGATGGTATATGTTGGAATGCCATCCTGCTGTTCGGGTCAACAATGTGAAGAAGTAAAGTTCATGATAGCTGACACATTCCATTGGCGTCAGCAACGCTGATGCTTCAAGTTTCAAGGTACCTCCCGCAAGCACGCCCGTGCAACCCTCACCCTTACTACACGGCCAGTGCTTCTGACAAGCCTCATCGAATCTCCCACGAGAGATAATGACGGCCGGGGTCCACATGCCATTCCTGTGCTGCACAGAGCAACTCTTGAGCACCTTGCAGGATCTATCGCGTCTGTCGCCTGTCTATGTTCACTTTAACAGCGGCGAGTTGACCACTCCACAAACATCCGCATACCTTCCTTGAGACACCGGCGCCCTAGCGTCGAGGCATGCCTGTGCTCGCCGAGACGCGATTTGGAGAAGTAGTCCACATTCTCCTTGACCACATACGCTTCCTGATCACACGAACCTTCGACCCCCAGAGTCCTTCAGCCTGGACGTCACACACCATGCCTAGGCCCAAAACTGGGTCGGAGAAGCTACTGAAGATTTGAAAAAAAAAACTACCGGTCTGGCCACAGCAGTGGGTCAAGGGATATTCATGGCCTGTCGGACCGAGACAGAGAGGCTGGCCAGCCGCTTCGCGAGGCCTGACTTCGGCATCTCGGATCCCCCCCAAAAAGAGGCTCTAAACATCTGTTTGAGAGCGTGCGCGCACCGAAGCTTCTTCACAACCTGCAAAGCCGTCCCAGCTTGAACCGCTGACCTGAAGAATGTGCTTGAAACATCTTGACATCAAACCTTCCACTTGCAAAACACAGTTGGTTCCAAGTTCCAAGGTGAGATGTAAAACTTGCGTGGCACTTTCAACACTCGACCCCAGGCCTTTCGCGCGCTCCTTCCACCGGCTCGGCTGCGCCTGGCATAGCGC